CCCAGTGCCTAGCTCTAATTTTCGGTTAGTCCTCAAGGTGCCTGTCGAGATCTATGGATCTGCCAATGGCCAATGAAGGAGCGTCCAGCGATACCCAAGAAGACAACGAGGCGGCCATCGACGCCCGGGACTTCAATATGTACATCGACGCCGGCGAATCGGGCTCAGCCGCTCCGGGACACCAGGTCATGACGCAGTTCTTCACCACTGGGTGCGTAGGAGCTCTCGACAGGCACCTTTTAGACAAAGGCCAAACATTACTAACGTGAGGGAATAGAGGGAAATGAGCCTTCATGTCTGGGTAGTTTCGGTGGTAGAGCTCACCAGAAATGCCTGAGCGATGAGCACTTCCGTGACGAATCCCGAATGCGCCGAATCGGCTAAAATGCCCGTGGAGGACAGTCGGTTTGTCGTCTTATATCGAGACGACGCGCCTGCCTTTTGCCTTTTTTACCTTGATAATTTCCTCGAAACGCCCCGATGTATGTAGATGGTGCTGCAGTCGAACAAGATGGCGCTGCCTAAAGAGGTTTCAGCAGAATGGTCTATAGTGCCATGCAGAACGTTCAGTCATTTAATTTTAGCTGTTGCTTCAGCAACAAGTACCACAGCCTGCGCAACCAGCGCCGATAATTGCGGTCAATTAACAGGATTGATAGTACACTCTTAGAAAAGAGGGTATCGATAGTCCTCCCTTAGGGGAGAAACTGTCTTGTAACCTATGTTCCTTTAGAAAGGGAGAAACCTTCGTCCCTGACGCTGGGGAGCAACTAGTTCCTCCGTCGCCTGCATCTCATTATGGCGGCCCCGAATCGAGCAAATCGAGCCCAATAAGGCTAAACGAGGACGCTACGTCTCTTCTACGGGACGAGAGGAGCAGCAAAGAAAAGCGTACCACGAGCTTTCCGCGAACTGTGTTTATTTCCGAAGCGAGATTCCTCCCACAGGTACAGAAACTTGCGTTTCGAAAGCAGTTACTCAGTTTTCTCGTCGACAGCACTACGGAGACAACCGATACTCAATTACTTCGCGCACTTTACGTCTTACCTTTGGTATTTCTTGAGTCACAATTCCTTCGTCAACCGCACATCACAAAGAATGGCAAACTCAATTCGCGAAACCAAAAGCCGCTCTCAAAAGAACAAACTCGAAGCCGCTGCTCATCACGTAGCGTGAAAGAAGGTTAAATCACTTGCCACCAGATGGCAGGGTCAAGCAGAGTAATTGCAAGTAGCTAGGCTAGGTGGCGCTAGGTACTGCCCAATTCATGTTCTACAAAAAAAGTATTTTCCCAGGCCACACTATACACACATTACGCATAGTACAAGCATCAGGTGAACATACATTGAGCAATGCACACACATTCATTGCGCATACAACCATCAATACAACCGGCACACCACACTAACCCGAACACTACACGCGGCTCTGCGTTTACGTATTTAATACTGGTCGTTTTGAACGGACGGAATTGCTCGGTGACTGAATAAGCAATAAAAAATATTCCCAGCATGTGTATATTTTTCCAGCAGTGTCATACCTCTGAGAGTATTTTGAATGGCTCAGGGGATGAATCTCTCATTAAAAAGCAAACGCTCGATCATGCCGTAATTATTTGAAAGCCAATAAATCAAGCTGTTCCACTGCGGTTCGAAGCCATGAGTTTGTTTCCCCGCACGGCACGTCGTATCCTGTATTCCTATTGTAGTGTTTGCTTTTCTGTTTCTGCTGTTCGCGCAAAGCTGCAATTGCCGTCTTGAATTAATCTATGTAGAGCGGATATTCACTCAGCTGGAAGTCATGCTTCACGGGCTGAGGAATCGCTTTTCAATCAACTTGAATGCAGTCAAAGCCGCGACTTACGGCAGGTGTTAAGTGTACGGAGCTACGCCGTGGCGAGCTCGAAAACCTCTAGCGCTCATCCCAGCGCGCCACTTGGAGGGCAGTTTCTTCAGGAACCGTAGTACATTTAAGCAGCAAAATAAAGGGTAGCTTTTTTTTTTTCGATTTTACCAACTATTGTTTTTTAATGCTAAAATTCCACAGTGTAAATATACGTACTTTCCGTCACGATTTCGTACTGTTCAGCCCTTTCCCCAGAGCGCAATCGCTCTCGGGGACGAGAGAACCGACAGTCACATTGGCCACTGTACGATAGGAGCTTATTGTTCAGACCAGCGTTCCAACATGACTATCCGCACGTCGATCGACTGCACCTAATTGTCTCAAGTGGTATTAAACTCTTTAATGTAAAGCGGAATGTCAACCTGCGGCACGCCGCCCCATCCGATCACGGCCCGACCAGCGGCATCAATGCCCGATAGTTTACGTAATCTCATCTTGCTGTTACACCACTGATACGCGAACACACGGTCACATCGGCGATAATTTCAATCTTCTGTTCACAACCCACAACACTGCCATCACGATGTTGCTGCTATGTTGCTGACACGTACAAATACAGAACCACGTTGAACGCCGGTTGCACTCGGCATCGGAAATCAGAACCGAACTCAGCACAGAAGGCACCCAGGCAGCCGGCAGCAAAACCTGCCTGTCTTGGACGCAGTTCCTGCGATTTCCATAACGTCTAAAACGTCGACACAGTTCCGCGTGGTTTCGCTAATATTTTCGCACCGCGTGAGTCCCGCAATCCGGAGACGGCCATCTTACTCAGTGTACGTGACGCTGCTGGCACTGTTCCGGAACTTCGCTGTTTCTATAGCGGCTGCGTTTGCTCGTTTGATAAAATTAGTGATAAAAACGTCAATGCAACCGAAATGTTCTGCACGTTTAGATTAGAAGACGGAATTACAGGCGGCCTTCACTGCCGCGGAAGCTCAATCAACTCAACAGCTATTTATTGAATAACGTGAGCGACCTGCTCGAAAAACGAAACCGAAAGAAGATGAGTCGGGAGGGCGAAAACTTTCTCCCGTGTGCCAGAAGAAGGAGGAGAACGTTTCGTTCCTCCCGTTTTCTTGTGTCCGCCTGGGGGCGCGTCAGTAGAAGGGAGGAAGACGCGCCGTTGCTACTTTTTTCCTCCATTTTTTCTTAGAGTGTACCCGCTGCATTCTAATAAACCTCTTGTATTTCGACCCTCATTTTTTTTTCTAAAATATCCTCGTACGGGGATACCTCCTTCCTACCCCACGACTGCCCGTTTCGATCTGGATTAGCATCGTACCGGCGTGGTGCACGTTAAAGACCCCAGGCTGGCGATCGTACTGCACTGTCTAAATTTCCCATCTACAGCTGAGACGACAGACGCTCATTCAATTACTTACTTCCGGTTGTGTAAACATACACACAACACAATTATTGCTGTCTGCCCAATTCGATATTTTTTCTATTTGATACTTCAATTGTTTTACCAATGGGTACCAAAAAAAGAATTTGCAAAAAAAAAAGAAAGTCAAAAACTCCTTTTTTTTTTTTTTTTTGCTCTAAAGTGCGTACTCCGAAAAGTGTGCCATTCGGTCCGTACAAAGCGGTTTGTTTAAAATTAAATAACCTTGCACGGGACAATCTCTCTAGTTCAATTGTTTCTATGTGACACTTCAATCTTTTTGCCGAAAGCTTTCAAATAAAACTTTCTAAAAAGCAATAAAATAACAAAAACTATAGTCCATGGTTTTGTTTTTATACCGTAGAGTGCCTACTCGTGAAAGTGTGGCGTTCGTTCCAAACAAAATGGTTCGTTAAATAAAGAACATAAAATCCTAGAAGACAATTCACTACCATTTCACCTTACGATAGACAGCAGCAGCAGAATCATCAAGCATTATAGCTAATCCCGCGCGGTAAAAGTATCACGTGACTCTCCGTACATCACGGGCCGCTATGCCCTTCCTGAAGGCCATCAAACACTCACGTGGGATTGGATTGACTTCGATATCGATATGGTGGCTTCGGTGGCTCGTAGTATCATCTAGGGCCCATCGTAAGATGAAACTGAGTATTGTCAACTGGAGCCGTTCAGCCCTGGTCCGCCGTGCTCTGTACGCACAGAGAACCATTGTTCTGAAGGCAGGGGGGGGGGGGGGGGGGGCACATTTTTCAAGCGCAAGCCTATGTACTAGAATGTATTCTTGATAACACAAACAAAGGCTATGTTTAACCTTAGTGATTTGCCACAATGTTCTTTCTAGCGGCACAAGGTGATCACCTTGAAAATTTACAATATTTTTCAATTTCTCAGTTTCCATAAAAATGCATTCTTTATAACGAAATTAAAGACGCTGAGAGAAATATGACTAACGACCTAAACTTCATTAGATACAGACATTTCGGTAAAAGACCTCGACACAAGTGGTTAAAAGAATACACTACTGTACATTATAAAATATTTAAATAAGTCTGTTCCTTACTCCAAGAAGTATTTCAACTTGAGTGAATATAGTTTGAACTGGAATTCAATTACTTTTGAAGAAATTTTACAAGCTTAGGAGCTCTAAAAATTTCATATTTTCAGGACAAAAATGGGGAGAAGAAGCCACTCCACTAATTGCGCTTTCGCTGAAAATTGCGTCCTCTACAGCTACCGAGAGGAACAGAACGGAACGGCATCTCTTTAGAATGTCTGGCTTCCCGCATGTGCTCATTGCCCTCCGTCGTGCTTTGTCTACTCGTCCACGCTCAAAGCTAACGAGACGCCGAAGCATCATCGATGGTAAGAGGCTTGCTCTGGAGTAGAGACAAGCCTAACTTTCCTTACCGTTTTTAACCTGTCAATGACTATAGTGATCTCTAGAAAAAACACTTCGCCATGTAGACATATAAAAATTTGACGCACGCGACAATATACCCTTGAGCGCCGAAGTACTTGAATACTTTCAGTGTCGGTTGATGGATCTTTGACGTCTGATTTTGCGCCCCGCAGAGCAGGCTCTCAGCAACAGCCATGCGCCCCCACCTGCATCGGAGACCTGTCCAAGGGCAAGGAAAGTCACGATGTGCCCCTCTACGTTCCCTCGGTGGAAGTGCTGGGGCCCGGGCACGGGGCCCCGTCCGAGGCCAAGGCGTCCGCGATGCGCAGCTGGCTAGAAGGACTGTTCCAGCCGGGTGACAACAAGCTGGCCATGAAGGTGTTCGGCCACAAGATGGCGCTTATGAAGGAACGCATCCGGCAGAAGGCCGCCGGGAATTGCATCATCCACCCGTGCAGCAATTTCAGGTGCGTGCCTCCCTGCTTTTCTGACCAGCCAACACCTCATTAAATCCTATTCACTTCAAGAACCGGAGGAAAAAAAATGAGACGTTTACAAATCTCTGTAATGCGAAACTAGACCAGACCTCTTAAAGAAAAGGAAGGGAGAGTACGGAGGGGAGGGTATGCCACTTTTCTTCCTCTGTACTCTCCCCTACTCTCCTCCTCCTGCTTTCCTAACCTCTCCTCCTACCGCTGAAAATGTTCAAGGGTGACGTGACACGTAGTCGGGACGTCATTTTCCCCGTAAATTTAGCGGGAAAACTGAATTGGTGTTGAGGTCATGTGACGTCAGTTTTCCTTCTAAATTTAGCGGTGAAACGTAATCCGCTAAAGTTAACGGGAAACTTTCCCCGCTAATTTTAGTGAGAAAATATCTATGATAAATTAGGCGTGAAAATCTCCCCGCCAAGAATAACGGGAAAGTTTTCAGCTAAAGTTAGCGAGGAAATTTAGCGGGAAAAGATCTCTGATAACTTTAGCGGGGAAACGTCCCATTATGCATCACGCGCGGTTACGCCGACACCGACGCCACTCAACCCGGAAACGGGCGCCTAAGAGCTGCGCTCTAAAAAAAAAAGTCCGACTTCTCGCGGAACAATATTGATTCACTCATTTATGGGGTGCATTGCGATATCTGTGAAAAACTTTGAAATGCGTTTTTTGTTATTTTATCAAAACGTACGAGTCTAAAACGAACAAAATCATTTTTTTCTTCCGGCAACCAAGTATTTAAAAGACAACACCAATAAAACTACCCTCTGCAAGGCATGAATTGTGCGCAAAAACCGATTTTTTTCTTTCTTGATGTGACAAAGGGATGAGAAGGCCGCAGTGCTGAATTTATAACGTCACCTAGATAAGCAAACACAGGACACGGATTTTAGGCACGAGTGGTGCGTAAGCATTTGGCTCGTGTTCAATCATCGAGTACCCGAACCACAGCCGAGCGCTGCCGCAGCACTCGTCTCCAATCCACGCGCCGCGTTTTCCTTTTTGGGGTGAGGTCAGAAATACAACACTGCAGCCTTCTTATCTATGAGGTGTTGGTCCAGGGCTGAGGTGAGGGTATCAGATGAGTGCCTCGATTAAAAAATCATAGATTTGACTGTTATTTAAACAAACGTCTCAAGGCGGCATTATAAACCGGGAATGAGTTCGAACCAGTGCTGTAGGCGTTAAAGAAAAAGTAACTAAATTTAGACTCGTTACCTACAAATAAAAGTAACGCGTTGCCGACCTACGTTACCTCAACATAAAAGAACCGCGTTACTGCTACGGATTAAAAGCAGCGCAGGTTGCTTCTGCGTGGCTTATTATTTACGAATTGAAAGGTTTTACTGTTCTGATGTTACAAGTACGCATAATCGCCGTATTTAAAGAAAGTGGGTGTGTTCTAGTGGTAAAAAATATACAAAAGATTAAAGGTATGTGATAGGAGTGCAGAAATTGATATGATTGGGGGCCTAGGAACGCGCAAAACATATATGTGTTATTTTTTTAATTCTTGGGAAGATGTCACGAGTAACGTAACCACGTTACCCGTTACTGGGCATACTTAACGCAAGCACGTTATGATTTACCGGTTTGAAAAACGTAATGAGTACGTTCCTAGATTACACAAAGTAATGCATTGCCGGTAACACCGCTACTTGTGACGCGTTGGCGCCAGCGCTGGCTCGAACCATAGCAAAGCCTAAAATAATAACCGCTATTTTTCCTTAGCTCAAGTGGACCAATGTCACCAAACGTTCCGCGCATGCGTGACGCCACCATTAATTTAGTTAACAAAAGATAAATGGCAGTGCTCAAAGCGGCTCCTGCAGTCTCGTAGTCTGCAATCGCGGAACTGTAATGAAGTTCTCGAACGGGCACAAATACTAAACGTTTAATGGTACATTGAGGCGGCGGTGGCGTAGCCACGCAGCTTGGTGAGATCGGTCTATGATACAGCATGTAAACTAACGCTTTTAAGTCAATTTCGATTTTATGCAAAAGTTGGTTTCTCAACGTATCGCGCTGGATATTTACCGCAGACGTATTAGCAGGTGGTGAAAGTTAACAATGAAAAAATAAATCAAACAATAAGTTAACTCGTTAAAAAAAAAAGAAAAAAAAAACAGAAATTTGTTTTGGTCAATTTATGTCGCCACTTCGCAGACGTTGCATGCGTATATAGATAAGAGCTGCCGACAGATGGCGTACGCCGGGTCGATGGAGCCCCGGCCGATTCGGGTTCTTTCGCGGGATCGTCTGCTATAATAACCGGAATCATCAATCCTGGACGCGGCGGACGCCATCTCTTGGCAGCGCTTATGCCTAAACGTGCATTGTCTGCAAAGTGGGGGCGTAAATTGCTAAGAGCAGGTTTCTGTTTTCTTTTTTCTTTTGAACGAGTTAAGTTTACTCCCTGATTTTTTCACTGTAAACATCCACCTCCCGCTTGCACCTCTGTAGTGTATTGCAGCGTGATACGTTGAGAAACCTATTTGTGCAGGCACCTAAAGTGGATTAAAATCATTAGTTTGCATGCAGTAGTTGAACAAATACAACGTCGTCAGTTAAAAGTCCCATCAACGCAACCATGAATATCGAATACTACGTGATGATTCCCATGCTGACACCGTTATTTGAACTATGTAAAATTTTAATCCTACGGTTTCACTTGGGTGTTTTGCCTAATAACTCTACGCTCTTGTGCACAGGCTCTATTGGAATCTCTGCATGGCGCTGCTTCTCGTGTCGAACCTTATCGTCTCGCCCGTGACCATCTCGTTCTTCAATGATGACCTGTCTATCCGATGGATCGCCTTCAACTGTGTCTTGGATGCAGTCTTCCTGTTTGACATCATCGTCAACTTCCGAACAGGTCAGTGTGCTTGCACTGGAAGTTCATCTGTAACATAACCACTCTCAGTCGCAGTGGGGCATGCAGCATGCAGGTACGAGCAACAGCGGCGAAGCCTAACGATGTTGGTCATGTCATAAAATTATCCGAGATCGAAAAAAAAGTAAGTTGGAAAAATTATAAACTTCAAGGAAAGACACGAGGTAAAGAGCTGACAAAGCAATACACAGCAAAGGCCCTGCGCGGAAAAAAAAAAAAAGAAACGCGCGTTTTAAGAAACAACAAATTTAGAGGACAACTAAGCACTTATGAGCTGTGAATGCGAAAGCAAGAAAGTCGTTCTTCCGCTCCCTTAGTTCGTCTGCCTCGTACTGGCGTGGACGGCCACGTTTCTCTAATGCCGAGGTAACGGGCGACGGCTGAGCGCGCCCTCTCGTGAAGGGGTCGCGCCGCGCTGAGCTCGGCCGTGCAGCCTCTCCGGAGTTTGCCCGTGCGGTTTCTGCGCCCAGCTGCTCCCTCTTACCGGTGGCCGGGTCACTTAAAAAGTAACTGCAAAGAAAAAAAAAAGCGTTTTTTATAAGACCTTAATTAGGATAAGCATGTCTCAAAACAATTTTTTCCGCGAAAAACAATTACAGCAATATTTATTGCGCGAGACTGATTTTAATTTGTGGCCATTTCGTTCGTTTTAAGTCGGGCGCCACAAAGTTGGTAGTATACGCCACGGAGTGGCTGCTATACGTCACGAAGAGGCCGCTAACCGACAGGGAGCGCCGTGTGATAGCAACTCTTCTCGTTGGCTAAAGATTGATTGACAGGTTAGATCTTGGTTGTTAAACCTTTGTAATGTGGTAATTTCTTTTTGAGCGGCATATTTTTGCGTTTAAAGAATAACCCAGTTAATGAGAGTTATCACTCTTTACAAAAGGTTTACTAGACGGGCACTTCCGTTTGGATTTATATCATAACAAACAAAACCTTCGCCATTCTTTTATGGCCACCGAAGTCTGATCCCGTTCGTCTCGCCTACCTTAACTATAGTCGCTTCGCTGAAGTAATCAGTGTTTCGTATTGAACCCAGGTGCTTAAGTGAGACTTTCTGAAGTGAAGTAGTGTGTGTTTAGCAGCTGTCGCAGGTGTTAGTGATAGGAAGCGACGCGAGGTATTGGCTTTCATAGCGCGGTTTGTTACTTCCGCTTTCCTCTTTGCTTTCTTTGCGTGCTTTTTTCTTTCTTTTTTGTGCTTGCGCGATCAAATGTCGGCTTTTTGGAGATGTCAGTTTCTGTAAGGCGGCGCCGTTGCTTTGTAAAGTGCTGCCAGATGAGTGATCGCGAAAGCGAGTCTTCCAGCAGCCATTTCGCCCCGACAACCTGAATGCTATTTGGCTGGAGGCGACAAATGTGTCCAGGTATGTGCTCGTCATTTCGCTGCGGAGGCCTTCGAGATTCGCACTTGTTGCACCGAACGTCTGCGACTGAGACATAGCTGCTACGTAAAAAAACCCTGCACAGCAAGTTATTACGTAAGAGCTGTCCGCAGAAGCCTTCCGACGTCCGAATTCTGCGTTAGATGACAGATTTTTTTCTCAGCTTCCGAACCATCTTACGTAATGTTGTTTGAATTGAATGTTAACTGTTATCGTAAATCTTGGCTTGTGATTACGCCTTTGTAGATCATCTCGTTCGTTTTGTTGGAGACACGCAAACGACGGGCATAACAAAATCGTTTGCATATTGCCCATACCTCGCGAAAGCACTTCCCCAGTCACCTTGCTAAAAGCGCGAAACACGTAGTCCACACCGTCCTGACTGCCCACTTTTTTACCTGCTTTAAGGTGTATTCACACGCAGGACTTTGTCCGCGGACAAGTTCCTACGAAAGGCGTGACGTCACCTTTTCCGGGGTATAAAATCGGCCATTGTTATTTGCAAAAACAGCAGGCAAAACCAAGGGACATGTCCACGGACCTGAAGAACGTGTCTTCGGACCTGATATATCTTGCGTATCACGTGGGCGGACGTCACAGAATATGTCCGCGGACCTGCCAGACCATGATTATAGGGGTTTTGAAAGCGATCCAATTCTGCCTTTTTTCGAGTCCGCTGTGGTCCTCGGACAAGCCCAGGAACCGATTGCGTGGAAGTGCTCGTGGTACACTTCGTTGCACGAGCGGTTTTCTTTTTTTTATATATGCCTCTCACGGTTCTCGTGCACGGATGGACCTTTGCTCATTTTCCTGTACGATTAGTACGCACGAGCTACAGCTGTGGAAGATGCTCGAGGATTCCTGCGCATAGTGAAAAGAGGAGCCGAAAAGAAAAAGAAAGAAAACGACTGGAAATTGTTTTCAATTCGAACATGGAGGCCAACAAGGCTTCACGAGTTGTTGTGGCTTGTGCTCTCATGATGGCGGATGAAGAAGTTGCGGAAGCACCTAATATCGACGCAAAAAAACCATGGATTAAAACATGGATGCCCAAGAAGAAACTCGGTATACAGAATCTACTCTATCAAGAAGTTCTGGAGAGCGACCCCGTAGAGCACCGCCGCTTGCTGCGCGTTGACTCCGACCAGTTTGCTGACATCATACAAAAACTCGACACTGAAATGCGTCCAGCCATCCCAACCAAAGACAAACTTCAACTGACGCTGCGGTTTCTTGCCTCAGGTGTGTGGTTATTCTTCTTACTTTTGTCCTTGTTTTAGCATATTTGAGAGCTACGCTCGACTTAGCCGTGTTTCTTGTTTTCTTGCGAATTTTCAGGCGAAAGTCAACAATCCGTAAGCAGGCAGTTCCGCATTAGCCACAGCGCCGTCAACGTGTTTCTCGTTGAAACTTGTGACACCATTTACAAAATGCTGGGACCAAAATATCTGGTGTCCCCGCGGACGAAAGATGAGTGGCTTGCGATAATGAAGAACTTTTACGAAAGATGGCAGTTTCCGCAGTGTATTGGAGCGCTGGACGGAAAACATGTCACAATTATCAAACCTCCAAACTCTGGATCTGTGTATATTAACTACAAGAAGACCTTCAGCATCGTGCTTTTTGCTCTTGTGGACGCAGACAGCAGGTTTTTGTACATTGATGTTGGCGCACCTGGGTCTGATGGAGATGGAGGCATTTGGAGGACGACACCACTGCGGAATGCCATCGAGAACGGAACAGCCGGTCTGCCGATCTCAGGACCTGGACCGGTCGGCGTCCACCCGTCATCGTACGAGACGACGCCTTCCCCTTGTCTACAAACTTAATGAAGCCATACACTGGTACAAATTTGGGCGGAGAAAAGGTTATATTTAACTACAGGTGTGTTGCCTACATTGTGTCATTTCTAAACACCGTTTTCCTTATTGTTTTATTTTATTTTTTTATTTCAGATTAAGCCGAGCCAGACGGGTAGCAGAAAATGCGCATTCCGGCAAACCGTTTCAGGTTTTTTGCACACGACTATCGATGCCGAACCAGGAAGGGTCACCTCATTCATTAAGGCGGCGTTTGTGCTGCACAACTATTTGCGAGCTGCACCTGTGCTTTTTAAAGCGTCGAGGGAGGACCACCAGCGAAAAAGGACAATCTACTTCGGGCTACGAAGTTGCAAAGGGCGCTCCGGGGCAAGAGCTCTAGAAGGCGCCATCGCGTGGCAGGGGGAAGAGGCGGGCCTTAATCTGCGGATAAATAACAAAATGTAACCTTACCTGCATGTTCAGACAAGTGCAGAAGCAAAGATACCTTTTCATGAGCTGTATATTGCTACTTCCTTTACTTAACAATCGTTCATGCATGTGCTGGGACTTTGACCACCAAAACCTTTTGTGGTATGCTCTAATTGTTCAACTTTATGTAAATAAACTTGAAAGAATCTTCAGTGTTTTCTTATTTTTTATTTCGTCATGCTATAATATTGGTTCGCAATCTAACACACTCGCCCACTCAAACAAAAACAGCCGTCAGGTCCTAATGGAATAAGTACGAAAGGCAAAGGATACAAGCGTTTGTTTGTTTTCAAGTATTCCCTTTACTTATGAGTGCGAAATGCTAATTTTGGTTTAACATTTTTTTGTTTAAATAGGGTTCGTTGAATTACATTTGTTTTTGCTGTTGGTCTAGGTAACGCTTGACGAGTTCCAATACCTCTATCTGACACCCAATAAAATTGGTTCCGTTCAGGCTTCTCATGTGGCCCGCCACTACTCTTCCAAAAGTATCAGCGTCGTCGCCACATTTTTCAGCTGCAAAACTTTCGGCAATTTTAGTGAAAGCAACCGTGCGCTCTTTCCACCCAGAGCTGGAGCAGTCATCTGCTTACTTTTTTCCGTCATCGCACTTTGAGCGCTTCGCATGAGTGCCAGACGCTTCCACACTGGAACTCGTTGTTCCGCGCGGTGTGTGTGTGGAATCCGTGCCAAGGACGGGTTCCCTCATCTCGGTCATAACAGACGACAATTCTGTCTCACTGTCCATCTGGAAAGGTAAAAGAAATACGAATGCGTTACTCTAGAGGAACTATATGTAAAGCCCCCGCTTGCACGGGAGATTATCGCAAGTGTCGGCCATTTACTGTTCAGAGCAATGAGGGAGAGATAAAGAGAGAGAGAGATAGTTTTAGTATTGAAAGGAGGACGGCAATGGGGTTACGTGACCAAGCGTAGATGTCACCACCGTAGTATTGTGGGAGAAGCGAGAGTTGTTTTTTTTTATATAGACGCAGCAGGTCGGACCCATCGAAGGCTCACCGGCGGTTGGCCGTTTCACTTGCAAAATTTAATAAAAAAAAAAGCTTACTCAATAAAGGACCCAGTACACTGCATTTAAGGTCAAAACTGTTGCGTGGCCCTGAAATTTGAATTAAACTGCCTTGCGGCCAGGACCCGGCCCGCGGGCCGCCGGTTGTGAAACCTAGTGTCTCGCAGCTTTATCCAGAGACTATCAGCACTTCAAGAAACCGTGATAAACACGAGTGAACGAAACAAAATGCTGAAGCCTGAACGAAAAAAAAATGCTGAAGCGTGTAGAGCAA